CGCAGCAGCCCAGAGGGATCCTGGCCTCGCCTTCCCGGCTCAGGCGCTGCGCTCTGCGATCCGCCCTAACATCTGTCTGTCCGACCATTTGTGCATCCATCAGTGTCGAGGAGCCGCACACCGCAGCGGCAGCCCGTCACGCACCACGCGGGCTCTGCAGCGTGCACAGTGCACCGCGCCGCCTGGCCCGGCCCGCTTGGAACAGACGGAAACCCAAATCTCTATGGCGCCCTTTCAGCCACAGCACCCCCTTTCATATCCGGACCCCAAACGTGATTAGTTTTGCAAACCATTCTAGGGATGGGGCAGATGAGGGGACCATGTCGTTGTAGCGCTGCTTGCACCTCGCCAAGTTCTTAGTCCTTCTCTGTGGACCGGGTGTGGCCAGGAGAGAAGGAAGGAAGGAGGCTCCCCAAACCCGCACCAAGCACCGTACAACCCCAGGCGACCCGGAGGCAGGGGCTTAAACTCCGGAAGCTGGGATTGGAAGTCACCAGGCAGGTCTCAGCCAGAGTCTCAAGCTAAAACTTGGCTGCTGCCTGACAAGACCTGCTAATGCGGAGCAGGGGGGAGGCGAGGGGAGAAAAGCAATGGCAGTGAGAATCCTCCTCCATCGGGAGAGGGCAGGACCTTTGTAATTCCCAGGTTATTCCCAGGGAGAGAGGGCCCGGCCAGGTACAGAGTTCCCAGTGCGTTTTCCAGGAGCTGAACGGGGCTGTGGCTGCAGTACCTGCCTTTCCCTCTGGCTTCACCTCCCCAGCCCCACCCTCCCCCTCCCCTGCACTGTCTCCAGGACAAACATCTTCACTTCTGTCCAGGACCAGTCTGGCCAGGCCAAGGGGCCTTTCCAGTCCTCTTCCTAAGGTCACCAGGGGAAGGCGCAGGCAGGACCTCGGGCATCTGCTGGGCGCTGTACCGGCATCTCACCTAACTATTCCTACTGTCAATATCTTGGTCCTGGGGGCTGGTGAGTTCTGCCCCTCAGACGGGAGGCCACTACGCCAGTGGGTTAATACCTGTTCCTCTCTGGGTTCCGAGATGTGGGCGTTAGAAGGGGTACGGGCGGGCTTTCAGGAAAGTGCCCCCGAGGTCTGTGCGGTCCCAAGGAGGTTGGAGACCCCACCGCAGCGCTGGCTGGGCTTCTTCCTGCTTCCCAGGGGCGGGGCTGTGCGCACCCGGAGTTTGAACCCCTTGCTCAGGGAGGGCGACAGTTCCTCAGGAGACGGGCGTGGAGCCACGCGTTCACCCACCGGGAAGTGCTGCAGGACCCGGGAAACGCAAGCAGCTCGGTGCCGCACGTGCACCTGCTCCCTTCTCAGCACAAAGTGACCCCCAGGCCAGTTAGATGCTCCCCCTCAGGGGGGTGCCATGCTCCTGGGAACAATTTTTAAACCCAAAAATAAAGGGGACAGAGGGAGGAAAGGTGGGCCGAGGGGCAGTGGAGTGACACAAGGAACTGCCCCTGGCAAATGCCTCTAGAGCAGCGGTTCTCAACCTGTGGGTCGCGACCCCTTTGGGGGTTGAAGGACCCTTTCACAGGGGTTGCCTAAGACCATCGGAAAACATATATAATTACATATTGTTTACAGCAGCAAAATGACAGTGATGAAGTAGCAACGAAAATAATTTTATGGTTGGGGGTCACCACAACATGAGGAACTGTATTAAAGGGTCGCGGCATTAGGAAGGTTGAGAACCACTGCCGGAAAACATTAATTACATATTGTTTACAGCAGCAAAATTACAGTGATGAAGTAGCAACGAAAATAATTTTATGGTTGGGGGTCACCACAACATGAGGAACTGTATTAAAGGGTCGCGGCATTAGGAAGGTTGAGAACCACTGCTTTAGAGGCTTCCACTGCCACCAGGTCGCTCCCCTCCCCCATCTGGGTGGTAATGTTTAGAGCCCAGAAAATTCCCAGGGCCATGAAGACAACTCCTGAGCCCCAAGATTGCACCTCGGCCCAATGGAACCCCACCTCCTCCAGGGCAGGGCACTGAGTGCCATTCCGAACAAATGCTTCCAAATGCCACTTCTTCCTGCCATGGGCTCAAGCCCCAGGCCAGCCTTGGGAGCTCTGGGAGCCAGGCACTGCCAATGCCCTCTGCTACCCAAGCCCCACCCAGAAAAGATCAGAAGGGGTGGGGGAGCCAAGAGCTGGCAGGCAGGCAGGCTCTGCTGGGTGAAGGGCAGAGTGGGGTCTGATGGCAGCCACCTGCTGAGTCCAGAAAATCTGCCCAGAGGAGCAGCCAGGCCACACCTGAAGGCAGGCCAGGTTGGGTTCAAGGTAGGACTGAGGGCAGCAGGTGACAGCCCGCCTGACCCAGAGAACTACGGGTTTACTTGGAATGGCATGAGGGAAAAGACCAGGAGAGAAGGCCTGCTGGAAGCTGGCTCCTAGACCGAGGGCAAGTAGCCAGGGTAGACTGAGTACTGGGAACCTAGGGGTCTAAGTCCACACCTTGGAGAAGGGTTCTCTGTGCCCTGAGGGAGGCACAGGCCACCTTGAAAGGCAGGGCATGCTGAGTAGTCCTCTTGGGGAGCCCGCACCCAATTTCAAGGTGGGCCTTTGGGGAGCACAGAGTCTGTAGGCCAAGTGCTCTCCTGCCTGCACCCACCTGGAATGCTGGCCTGGGGCCTGCCCCTTCCACACCCCCCCTCACACCAAGGCCTGGGCTGGGGAGGAGGAAGCGCCTGGCTCTGGGGAGCTGACTGCTGTCTGGGGTGCACCTCAACCAGGAACTGGGCCCTGGACCTCCGCCCGCCCCTACCCAGGCA